AAAATTGAACAAGTGGCAGATTGCAATTGGATGATCGGCAGGTGGTCGTAAAATTTTGGCAGGCCACTGTACATGATCGGTGAATTGATGAACAGTAATTTTCATGACACGGTTACACAAGCCATTCTTACTACATACTAGTAGTTATCAGTTCGCCGCAACTTGTAATTTAGTCAATGTAATGTACGAATGCTCTAGATGGTCCAATAGACTGTCTTTTCGTGAAATCGGTCTTGACATCTGACTTTTCTCATCACTTTCATAATTTCACCTCTTTCCATTACTATATGTTGAAGCTGCCAAAACGTTTGATTATATTGACTCAAAAGGAATAATAGCTACAACTCGATACCATTGCATGCCGATGGATTTTTAACCACTTCGGTGGTGTCTTGCATTATAGTACACGAGGCCTCTGCCTGCAGTCATAAACGGTCACGCAAACTTCGAATTCAACTTACTTTATTTGAAAATCTTAGCCAAAACATATCAACGTCTCTATATAATTAAGGGATTAATAACTGTTCCAACTGTATGAGTGAAAGTAAAAACACGCCAGAGACGGACAACGGACGTAAGGTGGTCAACATTTCAGTTGATGATTGTATCGTTCCTTACTATAAAATATGCATGTTTGAAAAACTCGTCAAACTAATAACTTATGTCAAGACTAATTAGATGATCGAAATTCTAATGACAAACGATCAAATATTAATATGGTACGTTCTACAGTAAAACCTGCTTTGGGACAGAGTGCCACCATTTGCATTTATGGTGAAGTTTTTTATTTGGAAAAACGCTTTAATAATTCGCGTCTATGAAAGTCTATTTGCTTTTCAACGTCCTTGTTATTGTAGCCTTATTCAGGACGCGTTTTCCAGCTTTCCGAGCTTTATGATAATTTAATCTTTGGACGGAATACTGTTGAGATAGGCAAATCCAGGTTCAGTAACATTTTGTCTTTCGGGAAAATGTACTGGCCAAACACCTAAACCGAATCTTCAAAAAATTAATAGTAATAGTTACTTTTCATCATTATCTTGCACTGACGATTTTGCGCAACCTCTATTATGATAGCGATGCCAAAAAAAAACTTCCAAAACACACTTTAGAAATATACATTAACACATCCGAATTTGAAAGAACAGATCATAAGACTGTCATTGGGTAATAATGGTTAGACATGTGTGAACAGTAATAGTAAGTTTTATTTATTTATCAACTCATTGTGACAAAAAACAACAGTAGAGCATACAAATTAGGTCCATATATGCTAAAGCTCCTAATTAATGTCTCCATATTGTTTCGCTGACGGCAATTGGCAAGTTGTTGTGCGGTCGCTCTTCTATCTGCCGCATATTGATATAATCCTCGTCCTGCCGCCCTGCGACAAGTATTTCTCTGCTTCTTGACAGCAACGCTGCACTCCAATTTCACAAGATAACTTTTGTAGCATTAAACTAGTTCTGACAACGCCAATCAGGGATATTTATCAACTAATTTTCCAACATAAGACATTTTGTCAGAGAAGGTGATTGGTGATAAGTTCTCGTTTTATAATGTCTCATTGCTCTGTTAACATCCACGTAGAAGCTGAAATGGCTTTCATTATATTTGATGATCTACTCGAAACAGTAGAAGACATGACATGCGACCTCGAATCCCCAAACTGTATTGTGCTCTCCGACATGACTGAACGGCGGTCTGATCATTCCCGATGGCGCAGGTGGGCACAATAACAAAGCTTCTGATACAACTCCGATGCTTTTAAACTGTTCTTTCCAACTCCCAGTGCCGCTTCCATAACAGCGGGCAAGTCTATATTGCCCCGAGCATCAACTGCTTTTTGGTATAATTTGACCGCTCGGCCGATTTTTTTAATTCAATAAATGTTTCTAATCCAAATCCGTAACAATAACTGCTTTCTAGTTTCTCTGCTAATTCTTTTTCGCGGCGTTAATAGCACCCCGCTAAGTTGTATTGTGCCGGAGGTCCTTTGGCAGAGTCTTTTTCGTATAATTCAACTGCTTTTCGAGTCTCGCTCTACAAGCCTTCCTGTTTTAAAACAGTTATCAAACTTCTTCCGTTTTTTTCTTCATAGAGCAAAGTCTTTCTTGTCCTCATTGTGAGTCAGTACAGAGATGTATGCGTTTATAGATGCTCTCATGGTATGTGTATTATTCCAGTGAGTTGAGTGATTTTTCGTTGCGGGGGGAAACGGCGTATAAATAGATTATATGCAACCGTTCAGGGGATGTTAGTCAGTTGCATTCTATTGGTGGAATTTTTATATCAGATCTAGAAAGTTCCTAATATTAATATAAATAATACGTCATAGTACCGCGAAAAAAAAGTTCGTATCACGTGGAAATGTACGTCCGAGCTGGAAAGTAAACAAATCGCGTGCCATATTTGTAACGGTAAACAAATTTCACGCTTTTGTTGTTATCACTACTCAAACGTTCTGTCATTTCAGTGCAACCGTCAAATGTGAGCCTTCACTTTTGGAACCATTTTGCTGATTATGTACGGCTTATAATTTTTCACAGTGTTTCAAAATTAATATTACGAGTGAACTTATCTCACGGAAAAAAAAGTCTGACTCACCCAACTAATCGAAAATTTGCCGGCCGGGTTGGCTGGATTATACCGCAGCACTCAGAATAAACTAACCATTGTTAGCTGCCGAGCGTATTTCGAGTAATTTACCTTTAACGTGGCTTGCAGTTTTCTTTGTATTGGGGTAAGCATTAACTCGCAGTTTTTCGAAAAGTCATGAGATCTATGTATTAGTATGTTTGATTGTTCTGTTAATTTGAAATTAGTATATAGCAAGGAAATTAGCCATATTAAATATCTTATTATAAAGCCTAGTATTAATCTAAACTCTACTTACTGCTATCGAATATCTATTACTATACCTACGCTAAAACACTTAATATTAAAATGGACCAAAACTACCGTAGTGCACTGACTAAACTACCCCGGGTTTTTTACAAATCTACTCCTGAATTTGCAAAGTACCCGGGTAGTTTAATCAGGGGTTAAATTTTGCCGATCACTTTCGATAGTGAAAACACAATAACTTCAAACCTCGATAACTTTTGAACGAGGCAAGCTATGCTTATACAGTCTGTACTATAAAAGCTACTAAAGATGCTCTACAAGAAAATAGAGACAGTTTTTTGTTTTTGTTAACAACAATAGGGGTTGCATAGAAAAACATGTTTTAAACCCCATTTTTTTATTATATTTACATTAAAATTAAAAATGGTTTTCTATTTTCTTGTCATTCCACGAAAAAATCGAAATGCCCAAACTCTTCTGTCTTGTAAAGGGAATGCACTCTCGGGCGCATTTTCGATCAGTATTGGTAGGGAAGAACTATTAGTGACCTTAAAAAAGCTATCAAAGCAAACTTTCGCTGATATTGACGTTAAAGACATCAAGTTATGGAAGGTCGAAATTCCTGACGAACGCGATTCCGAGTTGGCCAACCCCGTATTAAATGTCGAACTTCTGGCAACTCGAGACGTAGGAGAGTACTGGACCAAGAAATCACCTCCATCTAAAAGGCATATCCACGTCATAGTCGAGCCACCGGAGTTCGCGAAAGGAAAAAAGGTTAACTGCACCGTTTCCTATGGTCGCAACAACATGGCAAAGTTTCAGTGGCCTACAAACCGGGTTAAAACCACACTAGCCGAGCTTAAATCTCGTCTTCGCACCTGTTTCACTTTTCCTGACGGCACTGAGGACGAGAACATAACCATAAGCTGTGAGATGGGTAGCGGAAAAGATCGTACAACCACCCGAATTCTGAACGATATGGACTTAAAGAATATAATCTGAGACGATTCTTTCAAGGGTGATTTAGCATTCGTTGTCGATACGTCGCAACAACCATTCAGTTCATGGACTTTTGGAAAGATGTCTTCTCATTATCAGCTGACAGCTTCGTCGATTTACCCAAATTCGATGCAGGCCGTGCCGATACGTCAGAGTATAAAGAGGTCCTACGTCATGTCGTGGAAGATATTATCATGAAACATAAAGTCTCGCAATCGATTCTCAGTACCAATGAGGCGAATTCATTTCATCGGTCATCTATGGTGTTGCGTCGGTATTCAACGGTGAAGTCAAGGTTTGTCCGCAATACAAAATATCAGGAAGCCATGGGAAGGGCCCAGTCGATTGGGCAATCAAAGTGCGCGACGCGATCATTGCAATTACGGAGCCGAAGCGGGAAGATATCAATCAAGGTGTGGGCCAGTGTACGATCCAACTCCAAGCATCCTTGCAACGCAATAAAAAGCGTTCCTACGACACGGCCCTGCGAGAAATTGAGATGTTTGGAATAATCACCACTGCAAGTGATTGGGTAATTATCAAAGTGGGTTCGAGTGGGGTCAACGATGATAGTCGAGTCGAGGTGTTGTTAAGTTCGCGCTCCCCTCTTTCATGACCCATTAGCGAGGCAACATTGAATAAAGACCTCTTGCGTAGCTAACTTGAGAGCTTGTTTGGTCAGATCAAATGGGTTTTCGATCAACAGATTGAATCTAATAAGCGTCAACGTAGGGAATAATAATGGATAAGAATCTTCACGCTTTGTAGTATATAGCCCTTCATAAATAAAATAAAAGCATGATTTTTGATTAGTGGCAACGTGAAATGATCTACAAATTATTGTGAACGAATCATGTTAGAGGATCCGGAATTGTCAATCGCGAGCTAGATTTCGATTTCTTTCATTTATATGTATTAGCTGAGGTAGTTAGCTCATTAACCGTAACAAATTCTAACCCAACACGAATGTTGTTTTACGCTCGAATTCATACAAAGCTACGAATTAGTTACCTAGGATTCCGACACAGATATCCCGCTTGCGTCGAGTCATAATTGAATTAATTTTCGCTGATCGACAATTTTCGCATTCGCCAATGCTACGATTCCAAGGTTTTTGGCAAACTATATATGTTGGGGTGTTTACTTAGTAGCATCAGATGATATAAAGCGATTTTGTTGGCGGATCCAAATTACAGGCAATTTGTCTGTAATACAGTTTAAGGGATAAAATGAATAATAATAATGCAATAGACGCGAACACTGTTGTACTCAGTTGGGAACCTGTCTCAGTTCTGGACTGAGACAAATGAGTTCTGGACTGAGTGTCTGGGTTTTGGACTGAGACAACTGAGTTCTGGATTGAGTGACTGGGTTCTGAACTGAGACAGGTCCTGAACTCAGACACATTACCATGTGCCACTTGCAGTGCAGGTTCACCTTTACCAATAATACCCATAACAATGACTGTGGGTATTACCATCTTAACAATGATTAGGTTCGCATTTCTTTTATATTAGGCAAGAACACTAGCCGTTATTCAAAAGTTGAAAACATTTTTGTTGACATAAATTCAAATGGAGAGGTAGAGTTATTGAGTCATACCGCAAACATCCTACAATTATAATATGCATGTGTCTGGTTACAGGAACATTTTCTGACTATCTGTTAGTTGAACTCTGTACACGAGACTTTCCATAGCCGGTAGTTATAATCTTGAGTTTGTAATAAAAATTGATAATAATTAGATTTTTACACGTTTATACGATGTCGTAATAATACCATAAGCCGTCGCTAATGAAATTTGAACAGGCAACAATGCCGTTAATATTACTTGGAAAATTTGGCTGTCAGAAAGAGATAACCTTTCTGTGTTCGAACAGATATCCACTATTGTTGATTTCGTTAAATTAGTATAGCTGTCGTATAATGTTCGGAACCCCTCAAAATTGACAATTCTTCTTGTTTGAACAGGAAATGTACTGTGTTTCATATTGGAATAACGCCTAAGAAAGATTCCATTATTTCTTTAAGTTAATCTGATCTGTATAGATTCTGATTTTTATACTCGAGCGCTCGTTTTCGCGAACTTTTTAATTATATAGATATCACTTATTAAGAATACGATATTAATATCCAGTTGTTCAGGGATGCGAGATTTTCTGCTAATACTAAAGCAATGTCCACGCCTTTGGCATAATTAACCATTCAACGTTATTATGAGTATTTTCGGCGCCATCAAAACAATATGTCGGCAGATGCAGGCTAAAGCGTCCAAGTTTCATTGGGAAATGTAAATCGTGAAACTAACCTCAACTTAAGAGGTTTGGTGAAACAACGTTTTCCAATCATCCGCTTGAAACTTGCTTAACCTCCCCATATGTCTTTATTATTATTGTCCATTCATTTGCGATTCCTTATCTCTGCATCTCATCTATAGTTCATGAATAAATCCGAGTTAGGTCAATTATGCAGCTGGTACGACAAAGCAGCATAAAGTGAGCAGGGTACCGTCTCACAAAGAATGCCCAAAACCAGCCAACACGAAGTGGATACCCCTTTGTTCACTGTTATATAAATTTAGAAGAGGTTCAATGAATGGAAAATGTACTTTCAAAAAATAACAGTACCATTTCGCGCTGTCAAGATTCATGTCACCGACAGCTATGCAAAATGTTACCATACGATGTTAAACTTTCGATTAAATCATCATACCAAGTCAATATGTCTTGCGTCTCCTTACTCAATATAAATTATAAAACACCAAACGTCTTGCAACACAAGTCTCTTTTTCTCTTGGGCCTCTTCCGCGCCTCTTCTGCGAAAGCTCGGACAATTTTACTTGAGCACGCCTATCCGTTACGAAAACAATTTCAGCAATGTATACTGACACTCGGGGCAACCTCTGTTTCTTGGCCACGGCTCGAAAAAGGTCAACGCCTTACCCTCCAGTAATAATAACATCGACTGCGGCTTTGCGGTTGCATTATACTTGTGCCCGAATTATTCAAAGGAAATACTTTTCATCCAATCGGAGACCGGTTGGTAAAGTTAAGTGTCAAACGTCGATGTTGGAAAAGTAACCAACATAGACGAAAGGTAATTAGTCTATGTATGTACATATAGAAAACGTGTTCTGACAAACGTATAGTGAGCAAAGTTATTTTATTGATAAGTTTATTATTATTTAAAGTGTGCATTTTTGCGAAAATAAACATTATTTTGATCACATGTGTTATACGATTTTAGTAATAAGAACGTTCTTATCTAAATGTATAGTCATTGATGTGAATTTTAGTAATGAGAGCGTTCTTAGATAAATGTAAATTTTAGCCTCTTAGCTAAACAAATGCTTATTATTATTTAAAAACTGTTGTAGTTATAGTCAGTGGCGTTAATATTAGATACTATTTTATGTGAACCGATAAATGTATCGCGTCTTTCATAAAATACATACTCCCCATGAATTTATTGTCAGCCAAGATAAGTTGCTTCTCAAGATATGTCCAGGTCATTGCATATCGCTGACAGACCTTGAATTATAATAATGATGGTATTACGTAATGCTAATGTATTAATATTATTACTTTTGTATCTGGTATCGACATATTCTTTAAAAAATGTTATGACAATTTTTCGTCTTTTCTCAACAGTACATTTACAGTTACCTTCCATAATTTCGGAAACTACTGACATAATGTCAAGCACATCAATTTCAATCGCGTTAATTATTCAACAGAGTTACTCTGTCTCAGTACCCGACATAACGCAGGCTATGGTTCCGATCTTTTTCTCTGTTAACATTAAGCAATAGATCCGCCAAATTAAGTTTTTACATATACCGGTTATTATAACAAATTATGCAGGTTTTCACTGGTTAGCTTAAATTACAATTATATGTTTGGCCAAATTTAAACTATACCTTAAGTAATTTATTGAAAAAGTATCTTTATCTTATTCTATTAGCAACTTGGGAAATTTTGTAATTAGGTAAAAATTGCAGCTTGTTTGACAAAACTTTTTCAGTTTTTGTGATATACTGTACATTGTTATTCTCATAGACTTGAACAGTAAAATAAGGAAAAATTATAACCATTTTGCCCAATTTTTATACTTAACAGTTTATATTTCAGTTTTTTAAAAAATGGTAAAAATATTTATTTTTTCTTTAACCACCAGTTTAACACATTAATTATCAAAACTTTTCCTATATTTTATATACATTTTTGTACTTGTCTCGTGGATTACATCTTGCTTATACTTAAATGTTGATACATTTGCTCAGAAGAGGGCATCTCAGGGTCAGGCTGTTTGTTTTTTTTTAGCTGCTGTTTTTATTATAATTATGTAAAAAGTAGGTTTATTGCATCATTCAGCATTCAGCCCTAAAACAGCTCTAGTGGTCCACCATAGCTGTGTCAATAAAGGACCACAAAATCAGCATTCAGCCCTATTACCATTTCTTATTATAACTATAGTGCGTCACAAAAAAATTGGCAAAAAAATTAAAGCTCTTCAAATGCATATTTTTTTGTTTTAATTATAATGCAAATAATTTTTTTAAACTGTCAAACAAGTTCAAATTTTTGTTTGCTCAACCCTAGCTTTCAATTACAAAATATTATAATCAAATTTGAATACACATTGCAGGACTATTAGTGTGCCTGTCAATAGTCCAGTTTGAATCCTATAGGCCATTACCCAAACAATGTAGAAAAATTATTGTGAAAGTTAAGGCAGTTTACAGTCAAAGAGTAGAATTCTATTTCTGATAAAATGCTAATTATAAATTAATTTAGTGAAATTAGTAAAACACAAACCTAAGCTAATTATAATTATGGAAATATTTGTGAAAAAACTTTATTAATATGATAATAAAATCTCTGCTCATAAGCTATCAAACAAAGTGTAAAGTTCATTTATTATTATTACTCTATTTGTTGCAACACAACAATCAATAGTTTCTTTGCCATTTTTTTCATGACACACTGTATCCCTAAAAATGGACTACCAATTATTTGTTCAGAATTACTAGCATTTTTTTAATAAACAAGTTAGCATGTGTAAGCATTATAATTATTAAGTATATTGGGAAGGTAATTCTGGAGACAAATTTGATTATAAATTGTTGAAAAGTGAGAGGAAGCAGAGGAAGCAGCACAAAAAAGGAGAACAGTAAGGGTTTTGTGCAAGTATGTTAAGAACGAGAACGATAGTTACATTAGTATTAGCACATTAAACAAGATCAGCTTATTATTATGTAAAAAATAATGTTAATATCACTCTTACTTATTACTAGGCTAACAAGTATTTTGCATCAGTTCAAAGTCTGGCAGTCCTGGGTGTGTTAATATTGGTTGTGAGGAGTGTGTATGTCTCCTCAATTCCCCTCCTTTTCTGCTTCCTCTCTGGCATCCCTCTCCTCCCCTCACACCTTTCCTGAACACTTACTGTGCTGCTCATTTTCAGAGCTTTCATATCTTGTTCATCTTGCTCTGGTTCACGTTCACACTCTGAAAGTGAAATCTGTTTCTTCATGATGCTGACTCCAAACTGAAATACCATTTAAGACAAGGCTAATCGCTGCGCCGCAGGACAAACCCCGTGCCGTCACGTTGCAACAAAAAATTGACACATATCTAAATATTTCAGCCAAAGAATCTACGGAACATTCTCGACTTCTAAGCAAAACGAGCTAGAGCCGTTTGAAGCAAAATAGATTATTACTTCAAAAAGACTCCAGCAAATCGTTGACGATGACTGTAATCCGAATGACAGGAAGAAAAAAGAACCAGATAGTTATCGAAAGGCGAGTAGAAATTTTCTATTGGGAGTGTATTGGAATAACGTAGTAACGTGAGTGACGTCGACCTCGGTATACAGGCTTCTCGCCGATCCTGACGTGGACCGCACTCGAGTCTTCGGTAGATGACGTTCTAGCCGGGAAAATTGAATGGGCAAATAAAATGTTAGTAAATATATTTTAATTTCAAAAACCTTGTCTAGGGTCCAACGCGATCGTAAAACGGTGAGAGAATGGGAAGAAAACGTTCGCGTAGGCAAATACATAGCCACCAACCGATTAGCGGAAGTGTAGGAATGTAAATGGTATTATCAATGCCAAAAGTTCCTGTTGCTACGTCAAAAAGAAGTCTGAATTTTAAAGAGGTACAGATGCGTATTTTTCAGTTATGATTATTATTTTACGTTATGTGACTAATGATCTAGGACAAGGATGTAAAACGGGCCAAGATCGAAACGCAAAATCTACCGATTATTATTATCGGTACAGCTATAGTGAACCGCTATGAATGATATTGGATAATTATGAGGATGACAATGTAGAAATTTAGAAGATGGCAGAGCCATCAATAGTGAATTGTCTGACAGTAACTGTTGTTGGTTGTCAATATTGTGAATGTGTAATAGTAATGACATTCTAGAAGCAATTGCATCTTTGTTGATCTTCTCAAGAAGATCTCATTTCAGTTATCACAGAAGAAAACCTTGACAAGGAAGAGATAAAGATACCGTTGAGTCAACAGTCACAGGAGATTAAACCAATAGAGATTTAGCAGCGCCTTTGAAAGTGGGATAATTAATTATTCTTGAGATCGAATACGATTCTCTGGTGCTGGATTACATCGTTGAGGTTTTACTAAGAAAGCATTGGTATAATAGTACTCGGTGATCACGGGACAAGTATTGTGATCAATCTTATCATTATTCATTATACGGATTAAGGCTTTAAGAATATAATGGATTATTCAAGAAACAATTATAATTCAGAGTCTAAGAAAGCGTGTGACGAAGCAAAGAAGATAAACAAATAAAGAAACTGGAGGGAATGGCTTACGGGAAAGCGTTTACGCCCATGAACAAAGAGATCTAGCTATTTCGACATGATATTTGAGAGGACACTGTGTGTTGTCGCACAATGGAGAAACCTAAACCAGACAAGTATTATTGAAGTAATCCTTAATTTCATTATAAGTGTGATTGTTAAAAACCGCCCGCCCATTTATTTATAATACATTGCCTTATATAATAAGCAATTGTGATAATTAATTACATTCACGTTCGTTTAATATTGTATTAGTACCACCCACGTTCTATACTCCTTTAAATCAATGAGAATGTCCATCCATTAGTCGATTACTGGTAATACAATTTTAACTCGGGCAAGAACTTTCGACGGTGCATTCATCCCACAGTCATGCCTTACCTGCCTAATTTGATTGCTTGAACATTTAGAATTGACTCACACACATTGTTTGTCAATGGCTCGGCTGTGCGACCATATTCCATTAATATCTAGTCGCAAACAAACAAACGCGTAGAATGTATTGTAGAATTATCTTTGTTTAAGGACAGATTGATTCGTAAACTATTTTTCAGAGATGGTCTTACGGGCCACGTTACTAGTAATCATTCGCACTTTTGACTGTCACTGACGTATAATACATATGATCTTACAACCCATTTTTTAGCACTCAAATAAGCCAAGCCGTTATATCCTAGTGTCTGTAAGCTAATGCTACGGATACCTTTTTGCCATAGAGATGACTCGGGAACTTTATTGACAGGCAATAATGTCAGACAAGCCATCGATTTTGGGTTGACAAACTATATTATACGCTTCTTTTTGCGTCTAATTAATTTTATCGATCAATCATTGAGATTATTCATTCTCGGACCGGAACGATTATAAAACGCTTTAGGAAAGATAACATCATCTGTCATACCCCAGACCCGCAGTTTCTGCTCCATTTGGTACTTGCACCAAAACACTTAAATACGCAATACCCGCCGACAAAACCTCTTTAATCTGATTCATACTCCACACCACACACACTACTGGAATATACTGATCTTGCTGCCCCTCCCTTCCCTCCTCCTTTTGACCTCATACACTTTATGCATACGTTATTTGTTACAAATGGCAGCTTTCGTAGAACATCAAGATAAACCAGAATTTGAGAATAACGAGCAAGTTGATTCTGTTGCACAATGTAATGTTGATGAAAGTATCACCGGAAGGGAAAATCAACAAACCGCCGAATTATACAAAGACGCTGCTGAACAGGGAGATATTGTTGCACTATACAACCTAGGCGTATGCTACTATTATGGCGCAGGAGTAGAAAAAGACGGGAGAAAGGCCTTTGAGCTGTACCAGAAGGCAGCTGAACAAGGATGTGCTGAAGCCCAATTTGCTCTCGGGAAATGTTACGAATGTGGAATTGGCGCAGTAAAAAGTGGTAAGGATGCGATCGAACTTTACCAAAAAGCAGCTGATCAAGGACTTTTCAAGGCCATATATTATCTTGGTAAATGTTACAGAACTGGGAACCTAGTTGAGAAAGACGAACAAAAATCGGTTGAAATATATCAACGAATATCCGATCAAGGCCACGCCGCCGCGCGATACAAGCTTGGCAAGTGTCATCAGTATGGAATCGGAGTACAAGCAGATATCCAAAAAGCCATCGAATTCTATCAAAAGGCTGCTGAACAGGACCACGCCAAAGCACAGTATAACCTTGGCATGTGCTATCTGGACGGAACCGGCATAGAAAAGGACTTTGAGAAAGCGGTCGATTTACTTCAAAAAGCTGCCGATCAAGAATATGCCATTGCTCAATTTACTCTTGGTTTGTGCTATGGTGGTGGAATCGGAGTAGAACGCGATCAACGGAAAGCCGTCGAATTACACCAGCAAGCGGCAAGCCAAGGACTGGCCAGTGCACAATATACTCTTGCCTTACATTATTTGAACCGAGCCGAAAACGACAAGCATGGTCAAACGGCAGCGGCGGTCGCCCTACTTCACCAGGCGGCCGAACAAGGACACACCAAAGCACAATATAATCTCGCCGTGTGTTACGAAAATGGAATCGGAATAGAGGTAGACGTTCGCAAAGCAGTTGAATTCTATCAACTAGCCGCCGAGCAAGAGCACGTTAAAGCACAATATAATCTTGGCATGTGCTATATGAATGGACTTGGTGTGATAACCGATACGCAGAAGGCAGTCGATCTGCTCCGACAAGCTGCCGGTCAGGAGAACGCCCTTGCCCAATTTACGCTCGGGCTGTGCTATAGTGATGGAATTGGTGTAGAAAGTGACTATAAAAAAGCAGTAAACCTGTATAAAAAAGCAGCCAAGCTAGGACTCGCTAGCGCACAATATAATCTTGCTGTGTGTTATGATAATGGAATTGGAGTGAAAAAAAATGATTACAAATCATTCAAACTGTATCAAAAAGCTGCCAAGCAAGGATATACTCTTGCGCAATATGCTCTTCGAGATTACTGTTATGACAGAAATGGATTAGAAAACAATGTTCAAAAAACAGTTGTATTATACCAAAAAGCTGATGAACAACAAGATGTCTATGTGCACTGTGCTGTTGGTACGTGCCATGAACGTGTCATAGAAAGTAGTATTCGAACGACAATCGCAAAAGGGAACAGACCAGTAACTCCTGTTACACAATATAATGTTGATTTAGATTTGAGTGATGTTCAAAAGGCGGGTGAAACAGATAACGACCTGAAAGATGCTACCGTTATCGCTCCTGATGTATTGGGATGCCACGATGATGTAGAAAATGAAACGTGCCAAAAATCTAATGAACAAGAATGTCAATGTGTTCTTGATATACGTCAAGAAAGCTGTGTAGAAGATAATTAAAGAATGTGCGAGCGAAGAGGAAGTCTTATGTACCCTGTAAATTAATGACTTTGCAAGGCAATTAATAAATAGCTAATAATTAATGACGAAATTTTCCAAATACAGATGTGTCACGTGTTGAACCGCTGGATGATACTTTTTGTGTTCTTGTTGGAAGACAAATGTTACTGTGGCATGACTCATCTTCAATAACACTGAAGATAGTTATTACCCACCGCGCCATGGTCGACGTTGGCTTGGCGTAAGAAGTGTTCCACTATGTTCGTAGTCAAATATTATGAGACTACAACGAATAATCCGGTAAAATATTTAAGCTATGAACGACTTTATTCGTATTCTCGACGACATCCGTCTTTGTCTTAACGTTCTGTATTAATCGATTATATAGGGTGCGACTTGGCGGGCGTGCAAAAAAACAACAACGAATGCTTATATCGCGGGGCGAAGAGCCGATAGCGAACAAGTACCGTGAAGGCAAAGATGAAATGAACTTTGAAAAGAGAGTAAAACAATACGTGAAATTGTCGAAAGGGAAAACGCTTGAAATCAACGTGTGCCCGTTGGGAATTCAGAGGACTTTTGTTACGATGGCTCTTTTTAGGGAGTGTTATAGACCGAGCTTATATGGAACAACCGAAATATCCTCAAAAAGAGATGGCGTTATTTTGTTATTATTTTGTTCTTTGGAAAATGTGAGTACTCTACTCTTATTTGTAAATTGATGTCTTTTTAGTCTCCGTGAATGGATTGTGAAATGATATTTATGAGCAACTATTGGGATTTATATTGGAGATAATGAGTTGTTATTAGATAATAGTTGTTATTTACCGCTGGCAATGGTTGAAATTGGTTTTATTAACATACAATTCCAATCTTTTTGCTTGTTTCAGCATAACGTTAAGCAGTAATATGTATTCATGAATTGTATCATCATGTAAGTGTTGTATTAACAGACGTATGTATTGTATTTAACAAGTACGAGTCGAAACATCTGGTACAAATTGTTTAAGGTGTTCAACTGATTAATTGATGAATTTATTGTATTTTGCTACAGAAACGCGTGCGTGTAAAGAATCAGGAGTCGACGCTCCCCTCCCTAGTTGTAAGATTATCTGCGAAACTTTGACAGCGCTGACCGTGTATTCTGATAGTGCTTCCAGAAAGAGTAGCTCTATTCCTGCGACTCTGCTGTGCGTTACGACGACATTTTTACAGAATTCCTGATCCTTCCGTTCATCCATGCATGCATCGTATCTCTTGGCACTCCAGCACGCCGATGGTCGAAATCAGGCTTTGCTAAGCCCTTTATTTGTTCCACAAGTGCTTTGGCGACGCATTCTCGTACCTTATGGGATTGCATAGTTTGATTTTATCGACGTAGAGTCGGTCAAGCGGGAATTTGATGGAGATAATGGTTGCGAATCAATTGTGAACATTAACGGGCTTGTATAATCTATCAAACCAAAAATACCCTTTCCCCAACCCCCAGTTGTAATGCAAACTTTTCGTTTGCGAGTCTTGCAAGCGTAATGTCGAACCGGGAGTATAGAATGTGGATTTGGTGTCCACCTCTACCATGCCAGAACACAGCTCTGATACGAACAGCCAATTGTCCAACGCTCTGATTGCTTTTGATTAGTCGAATGGTTGAAGAAGTGACATAAGAGGCTCCGTGTGATTGAAAAAGTGATAGAAGAGGGCCAGAAGAAAGTGATAGAAGAGACGATGTCATTCGAGTGAAGAAGTTGCAAAAGCGGCTGCCGTAGGAAATGACAGCGTCAAGAAGTAATAGAAGACGGCGATAATGAGAATGTTGGATTCTTGATATTGATATACAGTATGATCCTGAAGAGCAAATCGACAGACATGTTGAGATTTCTGAGATACACATCGGCAGATCTCGTTCCAGAAAAAACCATAATATCAGCATGGCATATGTCTATATGTTTGACGAAACGGGAGTAATGAATGAATCAAGAAGAAACAAGGGCATGCAATCAATCACAAGTTGTCATGTCATGTAACAAACGAATAGCGAGATATTTCCGAACCTTAAAAAAAACCATGCGCAGGATCAACGTATCAAACGGGTTTCCAAATGACTGCTGCATGAACACGAATTGTACGGTGCTGATTTAGATTCATTGCAGCTTTCGACGAAAGTTTCCCCTATATTGTATTCATGGAATAGCTATCGACAAGAAAATTCAAAAGTTACAGGAAATTGCGAAACATTTTAATTGTCAACCAAAATTGAGACTAAAGTCATATTTGATCCATAGTAATAGGGCTTTTTTAATTGTACAATGATAGTTTAATCTCCACAAGAAAAATTCCTGATTCTTGGCGAAACAAAAGAACGGGATGACATTTTCATCGATAATACCCGAGTGTGAATAAGGATGGTTAATAATGCATATTAGGTAATTTCGATTATTGACTTGGAGATGTTGTCTAATCAGCTTCGCAGACGGTTTATAATTAGGGACCAACTCACACTGTACACTACGAAATTTCGGAATTTCCTCTGCGAAGCGATTTCTGCTTTTATTGTTGTATACATAAAATTACACGTGTCCTACACTCTCAATAATAATAATTTGGAAATTATATCGTCTGAAACATGTGATATAATGGGTGAAATTATACTGCTAATGGAAATCCACCACGTCTTATTAATGCAACAAGTATATTTACTAAATGTATGACAGGACGTGTAGGTGAGCAACTTGTCTTTGCTTAAGCCAAGTACCTCCATAACGATAACAATGTATATTACATACTATCTACATATGCGACAACAGCTCAACATTTTCTCTATGCATTTCCTTGTTAATAAAACCTAAACACAAGCCGTGTCCAAGTTCCAGCGCTTTTTTTTTTTTGGCTATTCCTTACGAGAAAACGGATATTTCTCATGGAGGCCGCGCTTATATCCCTACAAATGTCGTAAAAGACATACGTGGGGGCGGGGTATGCAAGAAACGCTTACCAAACTCGCGGTGGAACATTCTCGAATACGGAACTTGCGGCTACCATAACAAAAAAAGAAAACTTTTCAAGGAAAACAAATATGAATGCGCAGATCAACTGGTATCCCGACATGGTGTAACTTGAAACATCACGCGCCGGTGGAGAAAAATTTCTCTGTCAGAGGGAATATATAAGACATTGATAATAAGTCTCGTTAGCAGTGAGCACCTATCGCCTAAAGTTACAGTCTTTTCGGCGAAATAATTCTTCGATTATATAATTATGTTTTTAAGACGTGATGATGTCTTAAGAGTTAGACGACTCTTTCATTTTATGCAAATTATGAAGAAATTTGGGATAATCTTTGTATTATCGTTGTCATTTACTAGTACATGTGTCTTTTCATAATAAATCTGATTACGAATTTATCCTAAACCGGTTCCACAATCGATTGAGTATCCAACCGATTTCTCTAAGCGAGCAAGTTTATCATTACGCTTCCTGTAACGCTAAACACTTTATAAAAATATCTACCAACTAATTTAAGTATAAAATTGCATTCGACGTAAAACAAATGTTTAGTATTAACGTATAGTCTTGACGCAGAGTTGGATTTTATGCTATTGCTATAACTCAACGCTAGTCGATGAGCCAAGTTTAGTATTTTTATCATGCTTACTATTGCATTAATGGTCGAACATTTATTATCAAAACTGTACATTTATGCTTGTTACATGAATTTATATCTGACTCGGTTTAAACATACAATTTATTCTTATACAAAACTAATAAGTAGCCTCTCTCCCTTCTCTTAAATTGCTCGATCAAATTCAGAAAGTCGTAGGAGGCATCATCACAGTCACCGTAGTCGTCTAATTCTTCCCTCTGAAAACTCTTCTCGAACTTGCATTATTTCCAAAGCCGTTCTTTTTTTCTTCCACTTTCAATTGAGTTTGTGTTTTTCCCGTCCGTTTTCGTTTTCAGAGTACACTTTTGGACGGCATGACATTTGCCGCATTTGTAACAGATGGGTTTAAACTTTTTTTTTTTGATACTTTCGAACAACAGATAAAAATTAGTTTGAGGTACGAATATGTTCTTTTCAAGACGCGCACTGTTGAAGGTGGCTTATGCTCTATAATTTGCACTGTGTTGCGTATTCCTTCAAACAAATTCTGCCATTCGCTGTGTTATAATCCAATAACGGTAACACGAACAGCATTTTACTTTTGAATATTTTGAAACATTGAGAATTTGCTGACTTCCTCATAACTAGTGGTTTAAGTTTATCTTTACCAGTTGTATTGTACAAAGTAGTACAGTAATTCGCTCCTTATCCTTCTTTTTTTCTTTTGCTGGCTTGGTTGTGAGTGTCTGATTGGGTGTTATTTAAAAAAAAAGGACTAATTTTATCAACCTTATAAACATTCTCTAGCTGGTACTGCAAAAGTAGGTTGATTTTTGTTCAGGAAAGTCTTCAACTAGCACACTTTCTAATTTTCCATAAATTTTAAAACGATGAATATCATGTCATCTGTCCAAACCTATCGATCCAACCTTGACTTGCTGTAAACTCACTTTCTGGAATATTTAAAAGTTTAACAAAGTTTTTGCTTACTGTTGTAAGAGTCTATCAGTTATACAACGTTTTGAGAAACATCCAAATGCTTAAAATTAAAGCATCTTCCAAGTTTGTAAACTTTACCCTTTGCTTTTGCTTTATAACATAAATTTTTTGAATAACCACTCATTCCTTGCTTTCAAAATCTTTACAACCATGCTTCTATTACAATTATATTCTTCTGCTAATTCAGTAAATTTAGAGATGGATTAATTTGCTTTTGTTGGCACATCTCTTGCTTTGACTTCACTAAGTGCATTTGTTTCTTCCATGGGCGTTCTGATTCCTCATTCATGATTACTAAAATTGCGCAGTTTTATACAGCAAATTCAGATTCTAATAATTTATTTATTATATAATGTAGTGGCACATGAAATGGTTACGAAAATATGTAAACTGTCATTATAATGTTCAATTTTTTCCACTTTAGTAATATGTATACTTTGGTACACAATGGGATATGAATTATATTATAAAGAGACATTACGTAAATACGTACTATTGTAGCTCAAAAGTTAAAAATTTATATTGATGTTGATATCAGTGAGGCACGTTTAATTAGGGAATAAAATCTGATATGTTGACAGGGATATCAACTGGTTATGATGTTAAAATTGATATATTAATATGCGGGGAGAATTTAAATATGGGGAATTCATTCTGTAACTACTGTTGCTAATAGAGAGAGGGATTGACATTAACGGGAGAGAAGGTAATAGTAATTAGCTGTATCACGCTTCACTTGGTTTATCTCACATTTGGTGGTACAACAAAATTGTTTATTTTACAAATATGGTACTTGATATTGTCAATTGCTTTTCACACGTAACCTTATAAGTACAGTAACAAGGAGTGTGAGAATCTGACATCGATACATTGCCTAACGTGGGGGGTTGCCCCTAATACTAACATGACATTATCACGAAATTGTAAAACTTTTTACTGATTAACAAGTCCGACAAGCCACGTATGACGTTGATAACAGTATAATAATGTAATGACAGCGTAATTATTGTAGATGAATTGTTATTTTTAGAGGTTACAGCTCCTAACTGATCTGAGTGATGACATTGATAGCAGTATAATAATGCAATAGCAAGCGTAAGTATAACAATCACATGTTGTAGAACTATTTAGAAGGATTTTTGGTTTTGGATTAAATAGTCCGATGAGCCACGTATGATTTTATTTAAGAGTGATGACATTGAAACAGTAATATTGTTAGAGGCGAGTATACGCAGTAATAATAAGCGTAAATATAAACAATCATGCTGTAGAAACATTGATAACAGTAATATAAATATATGTTACTATGTGGTATAACAAGTGAAAATAACAGCAATAATCTATAAAAGCAACGAGTGTGGGATAAACGTCTCCGTACGTAATGTACAAAAAAGCTATTGCAGAAATCTGAATATACAATTATTGTCGTAATTAACATTTTCAGACCGAATTTCTCTCATTTACTGAGGTAATAACGAGTTTATTGATGATTTACTTATGTGATATTACTACGGTGGTGTTGGTGTCAACTTTCCATACTTTTTCTTCTTTTACTAGAATGTCGTCGTAACAAAAATAGCACTGAGACGATCTGTATCGAACTCCGTCAACCGAAGTACCTGTGAGTTATATTTTATGCAAAGTAACACTTTTCGTCAGATGGACAATTTTGGGATCGATAACACGTAATCTTTTCTGTATTAATAATAAGTACCATCCGAGGGCCGTCCAGTAGGTTTATTATTCAGCGGCAATTAAGTCCTCTACTCACATTCTAGATCGGGCATAGAAGTGGAAAGAAAATTATAAAAATGTCGTAATTATCTATCGCGAGGAACTTTTATTCACAAGGTGAGAATGATAATTAAGTTATATTGTTCACGTGACCAACATTTCACATGATTCAATTCGTTATCCATCGTAACACTTTTGCATATGATGTTAATACATTTTGTCTTTACCAAGCCAGGTAAAAAGTCTCCGTTCTCTCAACAATGATACGACTGTCCTATAGTCGCCACATTGTAAAATTATCTGCGTATGTGAGTAATTTCCCCAAAATTAATCAATCTATAATACAATTTGCGTTTTCAAGCATCTGCATTGCTTGCTAACCTTTTATAACGACTTTACACATATCTGTCGGGTTGCTAAGCATTTATTGAAACGTATGCTCTTAAAATTATGAACTAATTTGTTAATAGTTCAGTCTTTAAATCTTGGTTTATTGTTAAAAAAAAAGTGAGAAATCGTACCCAAAACTTTAGATTAGAAACTTTCTCTAATTAGTTTGGTAGAATCAATAAAGAGACCGTGTGAGCTAGTGATAGAAATAATGGCGATATGGATGTGCAGAAATGAGCAAGTCAATTAGCCCAATTTTTTTGGAAACCCCTGTATATGATCGAGGTATTAACGATTGGGACCGAAGAGTGTAATAAGTTTCATCAAAACAGCATTAGAAAGTATACAGAGATTATATACAGCTATCAAATAAACGCAACGGTTTATTAAATGTGATTTATATATACTCTCGTATCATTGATAAGACAGCGGTCGTACTCTGCTGATGCTTTCTAATAAAGGAAGTCCATTTGAATGCGAACCCCCTAATCCACAAGTGTCGTGCACTTATCATAATGGAGGGGTTTACTGTAATAAACACATAACAGCCAATAATAGCAAAAAATAATAATGTAATGTAACGATAGAGATAACGATAGAGTTCATTACACATATCGCGTTTACTCCAAGCTCGCCCCCCTATAAGTAAATATAGTAATAGCAATAGGAGAAACAACTATAACAATGGCAGGTTTATTGATATACTGTTGCAGAGAATATTCTGTGGAAGTGATCGACGAAAGTTTCGGGAAAAAAGCTGAATTTAAATTCGTAACTGTTTCCCATGACTAGTAACCGATAAATTATAAACGGTTGCAAAATAGCTTGGGGGGTTTTTTACCTTGGACAATCATTACATACTTTCAAGGTAGCTTAATGTCGCTAATGTAATGCCGATATTATGATCTGCGCCTTGGGCGTTCTTAGTGGTTCTGTTGGTAATGAATATACCTAATACTGTATACCATATCCAGTTAATTTGAGCCTGTATATTAATTCGGTCGACAACGTTTAGGAATGCTAATTCACGTGAATGTACGAATTGACATTTTTTTTAACGTGGCCATGCCGTGAAAGTTTCTCACATCATCTCCACACCAATTGGGGAACTGTTTGTAATTGCCAGTATCGTGTCGAGCATGTGACTTCATTATTAGTCAGCAGGCTAAACATGGAGTGAGAATATGCGACCGCGGGGTAGCATGATCGACGCAAAAGAGTTAGTATATTCTGGATTATAAAACTTTGAGCAATTCGTACAATTCCCACTTTTAAATTCACACACTTGCTTTCATTCACTTTCTATTCAAAATAAAGTTTAATATGCTACTTGTGATAGCGATAAAGTTTATCAGAATCGGTAGACTGATTCATTAGCATGATTACAAGCTCAAATTCGTCATATTCAACCATGATTGCGTTTTTGCAACAATAATGGTTATAGGCAAACATTTCGAGAACATCAGACTATGTAGACTTGGGGCTCTCAAGCTAAGATAATAGTAGGGCGGGAAAGTTTGTTTGTGAAAAGATACATCACATGGACTAGTTAGTTGCATCTTTATTTTCATACCAAATGTAGCAATAATCCAAAATGGTTCTTCAAGTGGTGTAACTAAAATATGATGTTGCATACAAACTTTCCTATAACAACCCGGAACTAACTATGACTGTCGTTATAAGAATAATAGCATTGGATCACAAACATGTGCCCTAACTTTTCTGCGGTCGTCATCTTAATTCGTTCAAGCTTTTTTTTTCAGATTCAGTTTTTTTTCCACGAAAAAAAAAAAGCCATATGGTGTTGGTAATTGGACGCGAGCAGGCGTTCTTCGCGCCAAGATAATCTTTTTTTTTTAACTCTAAAAATTAAAGTAACGGAATCTCAAGTTGTTATTCAATTGACGATGTTGATATACCGATCCTTTGTGCGACTATCTCGAACGATGTCCGTTACAATGTGGGAAAAGGCTCATTCTATTATCACGTGTGATTTTATGCGTTACAATATAATCATTGTTGGCTCAAATTATAATAGTGATGCCAGTTATTGTAGGCTATGATACGCATACATAATATATATAATAAATGAGATGGTGTAACGCAGATATGAAAGGGGGGGTTGAAGATGACAATGGAATGCAACTTGACTGTGAAATGCTATAATTCTGGGAAACCGCTGCTTACTCAATAATGCAAATAACTAACAAGAAGGATAATCGATATTGCAAACAAACATGTCCCAGTCGATTGTTGTTTGCTATTTGGCTACTACCCCTGATAGTTTTCCTCATCCATCAGTCAAGTCATCAAAACCTCATTTGCTAAACCCCTTTTAAAACCACTCGCTTAAAGGTTAGCAAGTTGCGCCCAAAGAGCCACATTTGCATATTTCTAGAAACAATCCCTGTTAATACTTTCCTCTTTTTTTCTCTTTCAATTCTTCGGAATTTCCAATTGACTTTCCAGGTTTTGTGATCCTATAAAAAATGGGATATATCAGGGAAGCTGAGTCCACAATATATTTAATCTACAAACGTAATATTGATAAGCACTGTATACTAAAAAAATTTTCAATTCACCTCAGATGATGACACCTGACTTTCCATTTAGGTGATTGCTGATAAATTAATTGGTTGGTGGTATAAATAAATAATAATAATATGTGGGTATTACTGTATTGTAAATACTTAATAATAACCACGTATAAATATTGAAATTAAATGCCCGGATATCGAACAAATTGGCATTCTCATCAATATGATACGCACACAAAAACACAAACCTCATGTGTATATATATATATACAAACTCAATTCCTCTCACCCTGCAGTCTATATAATACCCACGCTCTCCCAGTGTCAGTGCAAACAACTTTTCGGCCTCAAAACCCACCATTAATTTGCAATTCTCATCTATATCAACACTTTTATCTTTACTGGTTAATAGGTTCGAAGCTTCACTTCCCCCGTTGTCAACAAACAAAACATCTCCCTCTCCGTATCTAACCTAAATAGTCCTGTGAAGAACTATATATAGACTCGTCGTTAAGACTTAAGTGACGGAAAAAAGTAAGTTGGTCGGATAAGGCTTTTTTGAAACTAAGAAATAAAGCGGAAAGTTCTAGGGCTGCTTCTAAACAAAAGGCAAGGATACAGATAGCAAGGTAAAGAGCTTAGATAAACGTTAAACGTATAAAAACAAACAAGATTGTTTGATTAAAATATTCAAACGATATGAGAACTGCTCAGTGGTTGACTAGTTGGAAAGAATAGATAGACTTGCTTCTATGTAAAATTCGCTATACGGAACACAGTTAGAATATCAATCGGTATAATCAATAAGATATCAGCTATCACTCCCCACTCAGAACATTCACACCACACAATATCATTCGTTCAATGTAGGCGCACTCTGGAGAAGACTCTACAGCCACAGAATTATTGCTCGCGAAGAGATCTTCCGATTGAAAAGCCGGAAGGAGTGTTAAGCCAAAAAAAGATCATGGGCGCCGAACAATCAAGACCCCTCAGCACCGGCTACACAATTTCAGACCCCACCAGACCTGTTGCCTCCAAATCATACTCGATTGGAAACGACGACCTCAATCCAAATACCAAGAACAATCCCCAACCGATAAGCCAGAAAAGCATTAAACCCAATACTGCCTACACCAGCCTCCCATCTTCCTCACCACACTCGCGCACATCAGATGTGGCACTAGCCATCGATACGCTTGCACAATTCCTCGAAGAAGCCAGCCGAACTACAATCGACAAGCGGCCTCGCAGTAACCATGCCACTAATCCTTCCAGACCATCACCATACACTCTATCGAAACAGTTCACTCTCATAACTTCTCCAACACCCCCCGAACATGCTGCGGCTGTCTCGGTCAAACAAAGAGCCACACAGCTCTCGTGCTTCTCGGCATTATCTAAACTAGGCCTGGATGACTTTCGCGGTGTCAACAGCTCTATTTCACCAGATCGCTTCACGGCAGCAACGTACTTTGTCTTGGCCTTGAAATTGCTTCCGGGTATTCCAGCTTGTGAGTGGGATATGGATACCGTGGCAGAAGTGACTGAATGCTTGACCGACTTGTACAGATATGAATTAGACGAGGAACACGATAAAGATGTTTGGAATCAGGGTATTATTTACATGAAAGAGATGGTCCCGTTATTGCAGGATAGAACTTTGCAGAAATTGATATCGAAAAGTGACGATGTGGCAAAGAGGCGTATCTTAATCCATATCTTATTTTGTCTCGGACATGTCTCTTCTCTCTCATCCGACCACGCTTCTGCTCTCAAATACTACTCTGAATGTGAGAAAACATCTGCGACCGGTGACAAAAATGCAGATAAACTTCGCAAAAAGGCGCATACTAACGTTCGACTAATCGAACCAAAGGTACCAAAGGTGAAGCCGGCGTGTGTATCGTGCGGATTTGAACCACAAGGATTGAAAGAAATATGGGCTTTATTGGTATGTTCCAACTGTCAAGCTGTTGCAGCTTGCAACAGGGAATGTTTGAAGAAGCATCTTTCTGAAGCGCACGCGAAGTAGCAGGGGATTGCTGTACTGTATAGTTATGAGTGATATACTATGTATGCTAAGATTGATATTGTGAAACCAAGTCACGGGACATAATTTTATCTTTTTGTTAATAGTCATAGAACATTTCGCTATGATTTCACACACAAAAGTATTAAAAGTTTTTAGTTTTTCTTTTTTTATTATTAAATGCTCGGGGGTTTCTTTTGGTAGATAAAGGCTCGAACTGTTGACGTTAATACTTGCAGTATTTTTACGCAAAAGTGTAATATTATTTCGAATTCGAAAAAAAAAAATACAAGCATATTTACTGTACGTTGAATATCCTCGTTTTCTGCAAGTATGTTACACGTGTTTGAAAATCCTCAATTTTTCACAAACATCTGTTCGATCTAATCAACATTTATGAGAAAATCTTTATTCGCCTAGATATAGAGAGGTACACAGGTTAACCGTTCCGGATTGTTTAGGGACTGGTCGTATAATTCCGACACTTTTCCCCGAGCCATTCCAAATATAGACTTTGTGTTAGCTATGATTCGATTATGATTCGATATGCAAAGTAACGATGAATTACCATAAACGTGTCGGAAAAATATCTTTGTATTATTCGACAAATTTTTGTATGCTAGATGGTGTTGGTGATACAAACATCAGGGAACCCCGATGCGGGTAGTGTCTAATTATGAAAGTTTGATAATCAATCTTTCTGATGGTAGGTAATGCTAATTGTACGTCATTTCTTCACATGTAATCATTAGTTATGTGGCTTGCTAGATGTAAACGCCCACAAAGAGACCTCGCTCTTTGTGCTGTTTCCCACGACCTGTAGATCCGATTTGCGCTTGCACTAATTTTGTTAACGTTGTTGGGGACGGGGCGTTTTTTAACAAAGAAAACCAAATCAGCAAATATAGTTTTTTTATCACCGTTTCTGATAAACCTTGAGTTAATTGCTAGTTCCCGAGCTAAATTCGCGTTGATGGGAATTTATCGTCAAATTGTGATTGGATTATCAGATGAAGCTCATGTATCTGTAACGTACTACATTAGGAATGCTGGGGATGCGGGGAGATGGGGGGATGTTGAAAAGAAAGTGATGTTGGCCGAGTGCAACCAAAGCAGTTTGCCTTTTCTTAATATCATACATCTTTCTATCATGCATACGACTTATACCAGTTACACCACAGATTTATCTCGTCAAAAGCCTGAAACCATTCTTTTGTTAAATCACGCAATGATGTGCTAACTAAATATGGTATTCTATCAGAAACGTTTGGAGTTTAAAGTATATATAATAAATATTATTATTATGTAATTTTTTTCTCAACACAACGTGTCTTGGCAGCGTATGAATGCAAAATGCCTAAAAATCAGCCATTGATGAAAGCGATTCGATCTTTATGAAGAATTGCACCATTGTGTAGTTTTCACATATTTTGTTTTACATGACACAACATTTTTTGCTCAACAATGTTGTTTTAAGACTTTTTGTTGTATTCGAAAATTCCAAGTACAGGACCTATCGTAAACAACCCAAAAAAAGAAGAGGCTATTTGGTTGCCAGACAATAGGAAAATAGCTACGTTAAATTTTTTTATAAAGTAAAACGCTAATACAAGTTTAAGATACACGTATCAACAAAATATGATAAAGTTATTCGGAAAAGATTAAGAAATGTAACATAAAAAATCTGACAATAGTGAGCGCTTGTGCTATGCATTTAGTTGACTGTCTCTTATAGAAACTTCCGCAAGTGTATTGATACAATTTTAATTATTGAGTTTCTCACATATTAAATATAAAAGTAAATTATATCACAAATTATAGAGAAAAATGTTTAATCTCAAGTTGCCATTACATAATGTTGATAAATAAAGGAAATTATACACATTGTATCAACAGTCGCTCTGTCTATAAAACTAGAGTCAATTGCATTAATACATGCGGCTCACAACAATTACCGCGTAATTTACAAAGTTCCTGTTAAGTGCCAGTGCTAGAAATGTTGTAATGAGTTTATTTGCAATATGTCCTCAACTTTAAGCAGAAAAACTGTAGTAACATCAAACAGAACTTACGGTAACTAACACAGGCAATAAACACGCTCTGTCGATGCTTAAACCATCCCTTTTTGACCAAGAATGTTGTTTATTTAATAGACGGTTTACAATGTCCAATTAACTTGATTTGCTCAAAATATAACAACCAACTCTCCAAAACTATATAGTAAATTATCAATATTGTGAGAGCATTAAGCCTTGGTAAACAAGATAGTTTTATGCTCAATATTTGTATAAATCGTGTGAGGGTCTACGTTGAATTTGATGGAATTAGTTATTATGCCCTGGAACGGTTTATTGGATGGTGGCTAGTTTAGTAAAAAGTTGTATGTTGGGCAATAGAAACGACTCGTAATGTAATATTGTATTCAACAAACAAGTCCGAATCTTGCGGATAAACGGTATACATTCTGTATCAGTATAATTGTATCCTTTCGAAAGTCAAAAAGGACAGTCGCGTAGGTTATAGTTACGCCCTTCTAATTTAAACGCTACAAGAAAAGTGTCATCATCTAACAGCCGTTGTCCAAACAATATTAAACGTTTGCTTAATTCTCAATTTGTATATACGTAAAAGTGGTTAAAAAATTCTGATCGTGGATTTTTATCTTGACAAGTGCCGGTCTCACTTAAAAGTAAAGACAAGGATTCGAAGCTTGAGCTTCCGAGGAACAAGTGAAAAAAAAAGTTGGTGCGAGTTGACATGTGAGTTGTTGAGTAGCGTTCATTTTTTCCTATCACACTTAAACAATTGGAAAAATTCGATTTAAGCATAATTTTCAAAAATTCATCTCTCCACAGTCTTCTATGCAATCCTTGCGAAATTTTTCCCTTATACTAACCGTTAGAGATTACGCATGCTGTGATTCGGAGATGCTAATGCCATAAAAAATATCACGTGGCTAAGATTTTGCGACGATCATTCAACCTATGGCAACGATTATCCCACGATCTAAATGCATGGAGATAGGAATTTATAAAACTTATATTCATAATGTTATAATGCCTATGCACTATCCGAGAATTAAATGTCGAGCGTTTGAAACTTTTGCTGGAGACATCGGACTGCGTTGAAATTTTGGGTTTGTCATATGACATTTTCCTAATTTCTATGAGGAATTAGAAATTACCATTCTTTCTAATTGCGACTATTTTCCAATTGGTTTAGGGTATCGTCAACGAACGTACATAACTCGACAACTACCAGGTCAATTCAGGCCAGCTTTTTTTCAGTTGTTTACTAAAACCTCGGGCTTGCAACCATAGTTTTTGTTTTTAAATATATTGGGCAGTTGTTGAGATAATTGTTCACGATCAGAACTTTTCAACCAACCCACGTATATATTTATAAATATTACGAATAGTATAGAAAATCCGATAAAGAAGATATCCTTTGCCTCAGATATATTCGACATTGTAAGTCGCCGACAAGTGTACTACGAAACATGGATATAATAGTCAATATAATCATTTGTCTAGCAATAGTGAAATCATTTGTCTAGAAAAAAAAATTATTCTCTAAAACGGATAATTAGTAGCTATATGCGATATCAGAATAGTAATGGATAGACATTTGAACAATATAATAAAGTTGGCTAAGTCATCACTAAGCATCGACACGCAGCCGCCTCGCGAAGAAAACCAGTGACAGTATGAAGTATTTAATGATCCGAAACATACTAGACAAATCTCCAAAGATTACTTAAAAGAGAACGTTCCTGAATATGCATACAGAAAAACCTTTTTGAGTGGCACGCTCTCTAAATGCACACCATCCTTAAATGCACGATTTGGAGCTCGGGACTTAGTGATAAACGCTGTATTCTGATTTCTTTTTTCAGTCCATGTAAACTGTAATCCCTAAATGCATGCTCGTGATATCTATGTTTCTATTGACAAATTATATCATTAATATTCGCCAAGTTCGAATTATCGTTGTTGTTAATTATCTAATTAATCTTGTTGCACGTGCAGTTTGCTAGTACTCGTTGTTAATGGTGGTTGCTGTTTGTGGTTTGTTATAGTTTTGTTCATGGTTTCAATTAGTCCGTATTAATAAATGCATCTTAGAAGTGATTTGAAACAACGGATAGTCGTTACTATAATAAAAAGGTAAATTTGGGCGACATGTGATGCTGAAGAATAGATAACAGTACTGGGATTACAACTATTAGCGCCAGTAGTGCAAAGCTTGGAGCATGTACGCTTATTTTTGTTACAACAAGATGACGCAGGTGAACACATAAGATTTGTTGGTGGGGAAAAAGTAGTCAAATGAAACAAGCAAATCGTAAATAATTAATTAAATAATAAATTAATATATTTTTATTAATTTCGTCGTGTTACTATTTTCTTAATGTATTGTCCCAATGGGAATGCACACTTAGAGAGGTCTGATATGTGCAACTTTGATGTTGACTCCCGTTTATAATTTAATATGTGATAGAATCTCCACGAATACTTTATCCCCAGTTTCAAGTGCATATAATTCACAGTCGCCTCTACCCAAACCATCAAACAAGTTATCATATTAGTATGAATATACTGTCATAATGATGAGGGGATAGTATAAAGGACATAGATGCAACTTAGCTTGCGTTTCAGCATCGACTGCATGAAGTACCTAATAATGTAGTATTAACATTATTCAATAATCAGGTCACGAACGTAAATTTTCTTGGCAAGAAATCTAATAAGCTTGTCATAATATCGTTATCAAAAAATGAAACTCTCTATGATTATACTTAATACGTGTCAGAGGAGTTTCCGGAGAAAGAAAGATCCGATTAGTAAACAGTGTTGTTCCTAGCATCAAAAATAATAGCGAGCGAAAAGTTCGGATTGTAAGAAGCTCACAAGATATGATTTACGTGGTGACACAAATTACATTCAACAAATACACTAATTAGTAATACAGAACAAAAAAGCCTTTGACCAATAAAACGCCCCCACTTTTACCCTCTAGGGGAAAAAAGGAAGGAAAGAAAAGAACTAACGAACAGCGATTAACACAACGTCAACTAATATCGCTGACCAACTTTACCCTCTATTTTTATACTCTCTAATTTACTTTCAATAGAGCCAGAATAGTAGAGTTATTTCTCTGAGTGCGGTTTTTTACTACGATATTCAACCCATTTCCGCCTGTATGCTAAAGTTGTACTACATGGGATGCGTGTAACAAGTTGGATAAATTCTTTCCCATAATCCCCTGGTAAGAGATTGATTAATTCCGTTAAAAATAGTAACCTGTTGTCCATAATAATAATCTAACCAAATTAAAATTGCTCCGAAGAAGTTAATTGATAAATTTTTCTTTAAACTTCGCTTTCTTCTTCATTTTCTCGGCATTACGACTAATCTGTTACTTGTACGCCAAATTTGAAACTGGAAACTAAAGAAAAGTCCCCCAATTAATTAATTAAACTCGCATTCGTATATCGAGCCGGAAAAGAAATAAAAGCAGCATGAGGTTGCCAAAAGTTTTTCAATCAACAAGATTCCTCGACAAGACAAATCGTAGCTGGGCTACTCCACCATACAAATTAAATAACTTAACTCCACACACCCTCGATTGTAATATCATTTCCAAACTATCAAAAAACAAACAATCCTTGTACAATAATTCATCCAACTAAAATGCAATTCTCTCAAATCACTGCTCTTTTCGTTCTCTGCGCTTTGCTCGGTCTTTCCTTTGCCGCACCAATCGACTGCTCTGCCCACGGTATTGAACGACGCCAAACTGAACAACAACTTCAATCGGACACTGCACCTGTCACTAATAATGACGGCACGCTCTCATTGTACAACCCGGCTGACAAAGGGACAGTAACTTCAGTATAATTTGATAAGAGAATTCATGTTCTGCACTGAATATGATTGGTCCACTTACAGTAATTATTCTGGTTGGACATAATATTATTTATAGAGGAAGTCATTTTGTGTCGAGCTTGAATATACAGACGAAATGTTCGTTAAATAAATAAATAAATAAATGTTCAATTCTTGTACTGAAATGTCTACATTAAGTGACTAAATTGTGTGTGTGTTTTTCGTTCAATGTTTTGGTAAATTAGTCAGCATGGATGTGAGAGACAGAGGGAGAAGAGAGCAAAAAGAGAATAAGTGGGAGAAAAATGCAAAATCTAAGAATTATTCTGTTCGTAACATCGCGAAAAGTTACAAGCCTATAAGCCTTTTTGTGATATACATAAAAAATCGGGTTTACGCGATATTTAGTGAGTATCGGCAGCATTTATTCTCGACTAATTGCTTGACTGTCCGATAAATCAAATTGGAAAAAGAAAGCTATTCAATTGCTTTCATCAAATGATATCTTAAAGCTTTACATCGAGTGAATGATAAATTATCGTTACTGCTTAATATTAAGAGTAAAACCGTACGGATTTATTGTACAAAGCATTCTGTAAATCAAATAATTTTGTCAGAGCGTTGCCGGGAGTAGAAGGAATTTAATCGTTATTTAATATCAGAAGCTATATCATTTATCGTTGCCTTCCACAGTACACTAGAAATCTTAAAGTAATGTCTGGAATTTTATTTGACAAAAGGCGCAGTTTTCCAATATTAATTAATATAACGTAGACTCTGTTACATACGATGGTGTCATATTTTGTAAAAAATATCCGTAATCTACGAGAGCAGCTAAACCTTACCGAGGGGTCATAATATAATTACACTGATGTTGTGAGTGAGACGTGTGAGTGATATGAGTGTCCAAAATTGTTTGTTGAATAGCGACATCATAATAATAAACATTGTGGCCATTATATTTTTTTTCTGGCATTGCTTAAGTATTAGTATGACTTCCACCAGGGGATGGGTGCCTGAATCTGAGCAAGTACAAGGATAAAAACCAACGCTGGGGTTTTGATATACCCAATTAAAGACCCCCAAAAGAATTCTCAGCATGAGTTGGCTTTTCCTGGAGTGTGAACGCTAGCTAAAGCGGACATTTTCCCCAGCATCACCATCAAAAATTCCCGGACGCGTGATTATTTCGATATGTAAGATTTAAGTTTAATTAAAATTTTGCTTCTATAATTCCCACTGCAGTCGTGTGAACGTGAAATTTTCATGGTGACGCTGGGAAGTTAAGTTCAAGGGGACGATTTGATCAGGTGATTATCGATTAGAGAAGTATTTTTCCCAGCATCGCCATCAAAAATTTACGGACACGTGATTATTTATATATATAAGATTTGAGTTTAACATAAATTTAGTATACATTAAATTTTGCTTCTATAATTTCACCCACTGCACCGTAAATTTTTTGATGATTTATTTCGCATTTCTCATGACCCTATTATTGTCTCCGAAACCTCTTTAGATGCAACCATTAGTTTGATTAAACACACCATTTAGCCATGCAAGCATGTGAATATCAATACCTGAATCTTATTATTAATAATACTATTAATCGTGTAGATTCCCTCGGTACTAACCTCGAAACCCTTTTTAATATTATAAAAACAGACACGATTATGCTCTTTCCCTACTCTTAAGAGGATCCATTTAATAATAAATGTCTCGGATCGTTGATCGCTATTCTTGTTCACTTCCCCCAACCTGCTTCTCATGTTATCTTCAACCGATTTATTGCAATCCTCCCTTCAATTAACGAACGTCTCTTGCGCCAATCGATCATACGTTTTGGCGGCGTTTGATACCTTATTAAAAGTCCTCCGCAGACTCCACGACGTTGATTATACACAATTTCCTCGCATTCCGTGCTCACACTGTTCACGTTTGCTATACCCTAATCAGATCAAAGGATCACTCGCCAAACAAATTCCGTCTTCCCATTTGGCCTCATATTCCCCCAATTACGCATCCACGCTCTATAGTACAAAAGTAGCTATATGTCCACTATCCCCTTCCCCGTGTCCTAGGTTGACACGAATTTCTCCTTTTACCCTGATGGCAAACGAAAATATTTGTCACCTGTATTCTACACTCGAGCCTTGGCAGATCATCAAATGTACCCACTTACTCAGAATACCGATCAATTAAAGGTCAATTTGGATATTCAAAAGATCTAGGAACACTATCACTGTATTCCAGTATGCTGGGTGCGTTTCTCCAAAACGTCGACCTGTCTTCCCCAGAAAATCTTTGGTACCATCCTTCTCTAAGAGATGCCTGCGAATGGCTACAGGAAAACAATCCATACTTACGATCATACCATTCTCCTCCCGACTATTACAAAATAAAATATATGAACTATCAAAAATTCTTGACAGTGTAAAAATCTTACGAAGGTGGCAGATGTCGAGTTCGATTCGATGTAACACGTAGAATGAAGGCCCAAGAACTACTCAAGAATATTATAGGCTCAATCCAAATTAATACAATGAGAAGACGTGGATCATCTGTTCCGGAAATTTTTTAAAATGCTCTTCGAAGAAAGCAGACAGGGCGAGAAATATTTATGAATGATATTCATCCAACGAATTATAAAACGTTTTCGGCAACGCCTATTAAAGCTAAGATAATATCAAAAAATAATGTTACTTGTCTTGAAAGTGCATATTGCAACCACATTTCCATAATTTCTTCCACCATTGAATATACTGGCCGACGCTCTTTTTTCAGTCGTGCACGGTGCTCATTATCTTGTAGTTGTAGCCATTTATTTCATTGTATACTCAATAGCAAATGATATTGGGCAACGCAAAAAAAAAGATCAGACGAGAACATTGGATTCGAAATCAAGGTTATGATGTGACCGTTTACGATCGTATCGCAAATAAAGAAAAGAAAGTCGATATGGAACTTGGACATTCTATATTGGATATCGTCCATATTAAGGATCCTGGTGTAATTCTTTTAGTTGCTGAGGACGATGGTTATTATCCTTCATTGAGACGAGCCCTGGATCATAATTGGAAGATTGAGGTCTGGTTCTGGTCATCAGGTATGAAGTATTGCTTTGCGTAAATTATACAATTTCTCTAATACTAAGCTAATGTGTCATTATATTAATATAGGGATATCCGGCGACCTGAAGACAAAATCCTTTGTTTACCACCTGGATAACTTTTATCGACATTTTTCATATGCGTATGGACAGGACCCTGTAGGAAAAAATTATATTATTGAAATAACTGATGTTACAAAATGGAATGATGATGAAGTAATGGAACGTTTTGATTCATTAGAGTTATTTGGATGGTGGTTCAGGAAAGAAAGACCGATTATATACTTGTATTTCGATAACAAAAAAAATTCGAGAAAGGCAAAGAATTGGGTGGAATCAAATCATCCGGATGTAAGGGTTTGGGAAATAGAGAAAGAACAAGTTGGTCAGAATAATATAGATTTTATCCAAACCAAACTTCGATTTTATAGGATCTTTATTGACAACTACAGAAAACTGCTAAAGCTGTTTTTAGACAGCTAGTACATGAGAAA